AGTCTGGCAACAAATAAATGAGCAACCAATGATTATCTCTGCCTTAATCAGTCTGGCAACAAATAACCTGGCAACCAATGATTATCTCTGCCTTAATCAGTCTGGCAACAAATAACTTAGCAACCAATGATTATCTCTGCCTTAATCAGTCTGGCAACAAATAAATTAGCAGCCAATGAATATCTCTGCCTTAACCAGGCTGGCAACAAATAACCTGGCAACCAATGATTATCTCTGCCTTAATCAGTCTGGCAACAAATAAATTAGCAGCCAATGAATATCTCTGCCTTAACCAGGCTGGCAACAAATAACCTGGCAACCAATGATTATCTCTGCCTTAATCAGTCTGGCAACAAATAAATCAGCAACCAATGAATATCTCTGCCTTAACCAGGCTGGCAACAAATAACCTGGCAACCAATGCTTATCTCTGCCTTAATCAGTCTGGCAACAAAAAAATCAGCAACCAATGATTATCTCTGCCTTAATCAGGCTGGCAACAAATAACCTGGCAACCTGGCAACCAATGACTATCTCTGCCTTAATCAGGATGGCAACAAATAACCTGGCAACCAATGATTATCTCTGCCTTTAGCAGTGTAGCAACAAATAACCTAGCAACCAATGATTATCTCTGCCGTAATAAGCCAGGCAACAAATAAATCAGCAAACAATGATTATCTCTGCCTTAATCAGTCTGGCAACAAATAACCTGGCAAGCAATGATTATCTCTGCCTTAATCAGTCTGACAACAAATAACCTGGTAACCAATACTTATCTCTGCTTTAATCAGTCTGGCAACAAATAAAATGGCAACCAATGATTATCTCTGCCTTAATCAGTCTGGCAACAAATAACCTGGCAGCCAATGATTATCTCTGCCTTAATCAGTCTGGCAACAAATAAATCAGCAACCAATAACTATCTCTGCCCTAATCAATCTGGCAACAAATAAATCAGCAACCAATGCTTATCTCTGCCTTAATCAGTCTGGCAACAAATAACCTGGCAACCAATGCTTATCTCTGCCTTA